CCCCCCACATTGTGAAACTCATTTGACTACAATTCAAAATTCTGAGGAAATTTTGGGGAATTCTCATCGGTTTCCGAACACTCCTGCCCGAATTCTTCGAGTAGCTTTGGAATCAGCTGATGAAAGCAAACATATATTCCTCCAACACTGGAGTAGTCCAAAATAGCTTCTAAAAAGTATTATCACTTTCATCAATTGCGATAGGCTCAGAATAACACCTTCAACTGAACACTTCCTCACGAATCACAACAAAAAATTCTGGAAAATTTTTGTGATGTTCATTTCGTCTTTATTGCTGTCTCAAGGATGTTCATTTTCCACTTACCATAATTCTCCCCGTATAAGGGCACACCAAGTGGCTTCTCAGCCTAGTTGGGTGCTCCATGCCTTTCTGGAAGCCCCACGAATGGCACAGCGGATCGCAACACGGACAAGTCGAATTTGCATTGCTCAAACATGTCGGGCTCGCTAACGCGAAGACCCCCGCCTGAAAAAGAATTCCAGAAATTCACTCACCTGAGCTCAGGGCGTAAACTACTGAGAACCCTATATATAACGATTAACCTATTTTTCAGTACTAACTTCGGTATTCATAATTTTTCATTGAAGTTTGACGTCAAGTGGCGCACGCTGGTGATATGCAGTAGTCGTGAAATATATATTTTTCACGAGTGTTTTCATATCACTAGGGTCAAGAAGCTCCATTGATGAGAAATGTGTACCCCGAAAATAAAAGAATTCGTTTTTTTTTCATTTCTTTCACTGATACTACGTATTTTAATGTGCATTTCTGAACGAAACACTAATAGAGATTACACAATTCTAAGTTATCACCATCACAGAAAGAACGCCAAGAGCTTCAGAATAGGCTATTCGCACGCTCTAAGGAGCTACTAGGATTAGACCCTTTTCCCTATTGTATATACAGTGACCATTATATCGTGGCAAATCGATCAAGCTGATCGAAAGTATTATTATGTTTGTTATTAAATTAACCATCACCATCACAACCACAGCCAAATTCAAGTACACTCTAAAGTGGCTCGAAATCGAATGACCATTCCTACCCTCACAAGTAGCTCAAGCATAGAGCCGTTTTCTGCCACAGCTGGATCATCATTGTAATACACAAATCGTGTATAGATATCAAGTTGCTCGAGAGCTGCGGTAAGTCTGATAAGAGAAATACTCACACGCAAAAACAACCGTAACAATGCTTATAATCAGCGTTAACAAACTCATATGTGAAAACTGAATGTCACTTAACGACATGGAAAAACAAATGACAAACCAAATCGATGAAAACTGGCCGTATCGTATTTCGCAACTCTATTAAGAAAAGAAAAAAGAGTTTTTCTTTTTGTATAATTCGAATATAACACAAATATACATATGTTATTTACTTTCATCACACGAGGAAAATCAG